CCACGTTGGACAATACGATAAGGTCTGTAACACATAGAACATTGGAGTTTCGGAAGGAGAGGAGAAATAAATTAGTGAAGAAAAGATGTTTTTGAAGAAATGGTGCTCAGAAATTTTCCAAGTTTGGTAGAAGACAGAAATTTACAGAATCATGTTCCCCAGACTCCAAACAAAAACAAAGAAAAAAAGAAAACATAGACATATCATAATCAAACTGCTAATTACCAAAAATAAAGAAAAATCTTAAAACAAGCTATTATTGGAAAATAACACAGTCTGTGAAGGGGAGTAATGATTTGAAAGACCAAAGATGTATTATCAAATCCCAGACTAATAAGACAGTGGAACAGCACTCTAATATGCTTAAGAAAAACAACTCTCAACTTCAGAACAAATGTGTTTCAGGGATGAAGTTAAAATAAATATATTTTCAGATTAAAAAAGACAGGAGAATTTCTCACCAGCAGACTTGTTCTATAAGAAATTCTAAAGAAAGTTCTTCAGGCTCAGGGGAAATAATGGCAGAGGGAAATGAGATAGAAATATAAAAAAGAACAACAGAAATGGCAATTCTGGGTAAATTTAAAATACTTTTTCCTTCTTACGTTCTTTAAAATAGTTATGAGTGTTGAAATAAAAGATTACAATATTGTCTTGTGTGGTTTTCACTGAATGTTGATATAATAGATAACTATAACACAAAGGCCTTTTGGATGGTGAACAGACTTATATGGTTACAAGGCTACTATGCTTTACCGGAGGAGGAACAATATTAACCCTAGACTGTCAAAGATCAGCTATGAAGACTGTAATCCTTATAGCAACCAACGACTTTCATATTACAAAGAAATATTTCTAAAAAGGCAATATGTGAATTGAAAGAAAAATATTCTGAAAATATTCAGGAAAGGGAAAATCGATGAACATAAAAACAGAGGGGACAAACAAAACTAGTAATAAAATGATGACTCTAAGTACAACCATGTCAATAAATATATTATTTGTAGATGGCCTAAACAAATTAAAGCCAGAGATTATCAGGTTAAAAAAAAAGCCAACTATATTCTGTGTATAGGAAGTCTACTTTAAATATAAAAATATAAATGTTAAAAGTAAAAAAAATGGAAAATATATACAATGTAAACACTGAACCAAAGAGGGACGTGGTGGCTGTGTTAACATCAAAATGTAGAGCAGGGAAAATTACCAAAGATAAAGGTGGATTTATACATAATGCAATATACAGGTGATGCATTATTGACTTGTCCACTTGAAACCTATATGATTTTATTAACCGATATCATCCCAATAAATTTAATTAAAAAATAAATTTTAAAAGAGGGATTTATATAATTAAATTGCAAGTAAGATATGACGAGGCTAAATGTGGCATCTAACAACGGAGCTTCAATATGTATGTCACAAAACCTGACAGAATTCGAGGGAGAAACAGACAAATCCAAAATTATTGTTGGACACGTAAACATTCTTCTTTCAGAAAGTACTAGAATATGGACAGACAGAATTAGTAAACATATGGAAGACCTGAGCATTATCAACCAATGTGACCTAACTGACATTTATAGAACGCTCTACCCACAACAGAAGACTATCCAATTTTTTCAAGTGTGCTGGACCATTCGCCAAGATAAGCCATAAGACAAACCTTAACAAATTTAAAACAAGTGAAGTCATATAAACTATGATCAGTGACCATAAAAGAATAAAAATAGTAATCAATGCAGAAAAATACCTGGTCCCTCTCCAAATATTTGGAAATTAAAGAACCCTCTTCGAAATAACACATGGATCAAGAAGGAAGTCATAAGGGATGTTACAAAATAGAGTGAACTGAACAAAAATAAAAATAGAACACATCAAAATTGTGGGATGCACATAAATACTTAGAAATTTCTAGCAAAATGTCTATATTAGGAAAGAAGAAATCTAAAATCAATATTCTAAGATAACATCTTTAGAAATATCAAAAAGGAACACTTCAAAAATGAAGCAAGTAGAACTGAAAATAGAAAAACAGAAAAATCAGTGAAATTAAAAACTTGTTCCTTAAAAAAAAATTTTTTGCCTTGATAAAATCCTAGCCGGACTGGCCAGAAAACTAAAAGACCAATACTATAAGCATCGGGAAAAACAGAAGAATGATGTCACCAAAAATGCCGTATTAAGAAATTCTGGGGTTCCGTCCCTCCATAAAACAATAAGCTTGGGGAGACTCTCAGACTCAACTTTTACAAAACTGTAGAATCTAGCCAAAAACTTAAACTACCAAGGGTAGATGCGGTGAAGAAAACAGATACTTCACTGAGGTAAGAGAGCACTGTGGCGTTTTACTTGGCCCACCTACATGACACAACCCCCAGATTGGTAGCAGCCATGAAGATGGCAGCCCACCCTTCCATCGCAGGTTACTAGTACCAGAGGGAGCAATAAGAACCTTGATCTTAAAGAATTCAGGTTAAGGGTTTCGAACGGAATGGCAGCTCCCTGAAAGAGTGAGGCAATGGTTTGCTTTTGTTTAACCCAACGGGGGACATTCACAGTGTTGGGGCTGCTTCCAGAGAGGCATTGCCAAACATATTTAAAGGCAAAAGTATTGACAGCGGCAGCCTGTTGGGGAAAGCAATAGACAGATTGAAAATTCCAAGAAAAAGGCTGAAAAAGAAGATACCTGAGAGAGTAAGGATTTTTATAAAGCCCCAACATATACCAGGGAATTGATGAGGACACAGACATGCCCACGGCTGGACGCATGCTCATAAAAAGCCTTAGAACAACACAAGCTTTCACATCCGGCCGAGTTTCAGACTTCATGCAAAGAAAAAGTAGAACGTAAGGCAGAATCAGTTCTTCCTAAACCGATCTACGGATCAAACACGATCCTAAATAAAACCTAAGATTTTGTGGGGGTAGAAATTCACGAGTTGATTCTTAAAATTATATGGAAAGGAAAAGGAACTAAAATTGCCAAAAGAATTTTTAAAATGTGTTCTTGATTTATATAAATGTCTAATTATATAAATGTCTAATTAAATTATATAAATGTCTAATTATATAAATGTCTAATCACTACGTTGTACATCTGAAACTAATGTTGAATGTCAACTGTAATCGAAAACTTTTTAAAAATTAAAAAATGAAATAAAATAGAATATATTATAAGACATGTTGAAATGCACATACTATAGGAAGATTGTATATTATAGGTTATCACTGAAAAATTATTTGTCATCTGTTTAATAGTGTTAAGATTTATGGTAAATTATCAGATAGTTTAGTATATTTGTTCACAGTATGTAGAGATACATCGACTAAAAATAACTCTTTGTGACAATGCAAAAGTGCTTCATATTTAACATTAGAAGTAATAAAATACTGGATTAGTAAGAAAAAAAATCAAACAATGTAATTTACCATATTAACAAAGTACAATAGAAAAGCCAAATAATTAACTCAATATATACAGCTAGAACATTTGAAAAAATTCCAACATTCGTTCCTCTTAAAAACTTTCAACGAACTAGGAATAGAATGTCCTGAACTTGATAAAGCACATCTAAGAAAAACTTACACTTAGCATTATAGTTTCTGGTGAAAGACAAGAAGCTTTCTCCCTAAGATTAAGAACAAGACAATGGGGTCTACCTTCACCCTAACTATGCAACATTACATGTGAGGTCTCTTTAGAGCAGTAAGGCCAGAAAAACAGCATCCATAATGCACAGGAAGAATTAAAATAGTCTTTCTTCTCATGTGACATAATCATCTATGTGTATCATCTGATGAAATCTAAAAAACTTACTAGAAATTCCACTTCTGGCATGTAAGCATGATGAGCTCTGCAAACCTGCTCTTCAGCAAAACTGGTGAAACCTTTCTTATTTTATTTTATTGTTTTATTTTTAGTTTCAAGTATATAGTACATTGGTTAGACATTTATATAGTTTATAAACAATCTCCCTGATTGCTCTGGCTCTCCACCCAGCCATTACATTACTGCTGCCTATATTCCCCATGTCATGCTCCCCATCCCGGTGACCCTCTATCAACTATTAATTTCAATTCTTTAACCCCTGGTGAAATCTATTTTAAAAACAACCATTTAAAGTTTCTGCAAATCATCTAAGGATTTACAACGAAAGGAAAAACGACTATTTATTCAAGAAAATCGACTCAAACTCAGTAAGGCTATTGAAAGTCCAGATATTTAAAACAAGACCTGTTCCCATTCTCGTCCTTCGCAGCCCAGTGAGATAGAAACTCAACTCCAGGCTGGTGCAGCCAAGAAAGAACACAGGTCTCTCTCCTCTCCCAGCTCCCAGCTGGAGGGCTTTCTTCCTGGGAAGGGCAGGATGCCAGCATTTCTCATTCTGAAGCAAGCTACCTATTGCTGAGGCTAAATTCTGGGCAAGTTTGGGGGAGGTAGGAGATCCCTTCGTCCTCCCAGCCTCCACTCATGGGATCGAGACTCTGACTGAGGTAAGACACTACTGAGAATACTACGGCCTCAAGTGCCCTCGATCTGGCCCATGGGGTAGTGATCCATGCTGGAAAATGCAAGCCACGTGCATTTACCTCATTGTGATCATATTGCTGATCATACTATATTGATGGCCAGCTCGGATCCAACTCAGTCAGCAGACTGCTCCTCTTTAGAATGTCAAGGGGACATGCGCTCGGGGTCTGGAGGACAAAGGCATGTCTCCCAGCTGTTCCTGAGCCACATCTGCCATCCAGGCAGGGATTCTGTTACCAGAAATGGCCTTGGTCAAACATCATAGTATAATACGCCATATGCATTTACTTAAGTGAAACTTCCAAAATCAGACCACTGAATGAAACCACTGAAATGAAAGCTTAGAACTAATTTCCAGTGCTCAAAGAGAAAAAAAACAGTTTTATATTAACCTCATTCATCAGTAGACTGCCGAAGGCACTTTTTAGATGACAGTAGCCAAGCAGATCTTAAAATAGTAACTGACCTCCAAGCCCAGGTCGCAGCCGGTTGTCATAGCCATCCAGAAGGCGATCCAAGATTCTGGTGAAGATAGTGATGTTGTCAGTGCTGTCATCGGGAATATCTGGGGCATGCTTGGGAGAGAGTCTGAGGCAGTGGGAGAAAAAGAGAGAAAAAATAATAGTTCTTAATAGGAGACAATTAAATGTCTGAACACTTGAATTCAAGATTTTAATCAATAGGCTGGACCAATTAAGTTAACCAAACCAGCAAGCACTTCCTGTTTTTCACGATGACTACCTGTGTAGCAAGCAGACAGTGGTCACTACACTTGAACTCTTACTCTAGCGCTGGCCTGAGTTTTACCAAACATACAGTCCGGCCCCAAGCCGGCGATGGAGAAACACAGGCAGAAATCCTGGACGGAATGTCCCTGGGAACAGTGCCTGGCATGGAGTTGATCCAGCAAATTTTCTTGCATGAATAAATGAGCCTCAAAGTAAAAAAAGGAAAATTTTGTTACTAAGAACTTGTCCCTCTTCTAGCCCAGAGAAACGTAGGTTCACCGAACGACAGAGCCGGACAGGCCCTTGAATGGCACGTAGTCTATCTACCTCCCACCCCATGAAGACAGAGTGGCAAAGCACTAGTAACGCATTAAACGTTAAAGCTACGAAAACTCTTAAGAGATTCCCTAATCTCTCTCATTTTATACCTAAGGGAATAAGCTCAGGAAGGACACCAAATTTGCTCATAGAGGACAGTCATATTGCTTATGAGAGGCACAGATAGGAGTCTAACCAAAGCTTTCTAGTTTTCTGGTGACCCGTAGCTACCTCCCGCTTCTCAATTTGGACCCCTTCTGTATGCCTTTCCAGGCACTGGACACTTGACTAACCACTTAATGTGGCCCAGGCTGTGACTGATACTTCCTCCTTATGGGGAGGAGCTTGGTCTAGTTTGGCAGGACGAGAAATAAAGAAAGGCCCTGGGCAGCTCAGGGGAAAGAGGATATTGTAAAAGAAATGGCCATTGCCAAGGGTCAAGAATCAAGACTTAAAAAAAAAAAAAAAAAAAAAAAAGAATGGTGTGAAATCAAATAATAGACTAGGAGTCAGAAATCCAGGGTCCTAGTGCCTGCTGTATTTGTGATTTGGAGTAGACCATTAAGCTAGTATGGTACTATCTCTCCTAGGTCTCAGTTTTTCCCATTCTTACCTTGGACCCAGAAGCTTGCCATTAATAGATATACAATAACTATTCCTAGTATCCAGTTAATCACATATATAAAAGACGCAGGATAATAGTTAAGAAGGAGTCTTAAGAGAGAGTCAATATGTCTCCCCATCAACATTTATCCCTCACAGTGAGAAAGGTTCCTGTTCTGAAAACGACTCTGAAAAAGATCTACAGAACAGTAGAAACATCTGAATTGAATAGTTCTCATTCTAAACTGCCACTCTCTATCTCATAATCTTGGAAAAGTCATTTTGAACCACAGTTTCCTAATTAAATTCACTTAGTCATTCAATGTATCTCTATTGAGCATCAACTATGTGCCTATTACTGTTCTATGTCGTGATAGAGCAGGGGAAAAGGGTAAAACAAGGTGAGTAATCGTCCTCCGCTTACAGGGTTGCTGAGAGAATCAAATGATAAAATAGCTACACGTGGAAGGAAAAAGGGACCTAGGCTTAAAGAGTCTGGAGACACACATTTGAATTTATTAGTTATGTGACCTTGAGCAAATCATACAACACCTCTGGTAACGCTTTCATCATCTTTAAAATTAAAATAACCTCACAGATATATTGTATTAACATTAAATAACATACTAAAATGGCCAGGCTTAATGCTTGATATCTAGAAGTATTTCAAGTTTGTTTTCTCTTTTTTAAAATAGCTTACGCACTCAAATGCGTTACTCAAATGTAAACAGTGACAACAAAATATTGGCACCCCCATCGGCCAAAAGTCATAAAGAAAGCTTTGGCCTCAGAGACACTGAAACCCACTGAAGAGTAGATATGACTGGCTGGTTTAGTGGCCAGAGCGCTAGAAATACTACAGGTTCATTGGGAAGGGGGACCAAAGAAGGAACTGCAGTGCAGAGCTAACAAACTGACATCAGTGTGTTGAAGAAATCAATACAGACACCCTGTGGGGTGACAGCGTACAGTTGGCTCAGTCCACCAATATTCTGAATCCACATGACATGAGCTGTGTTGGAGCACAATCAATTTTCTGCAAAATCCTCTATCATTTATCCCTTAACTCTCGCTGTGGGGAATCTTGACCCTGTTTAGCCTAAATTTGATTTCTGGGAAATAGGTCTATTGAATTAAAAGCAATTTCTTGGATTAATGGAAAGGGGTAGAAAGGAGAATCCTGCCAGGGTTGCAGATGAGTATAAAGGGCTTCAGAGATGGTCTACTCCAGGCAGATTTATAGATGAGAATTCTAAAGCCCTTAAACATAACTTTTTAACCACCCTGAGTGTGATGGGAAAGCTGAAATTTTGACCCAGAATTCCTGAATATAAGGCGAGTACACTGTGCCACATCTCTTACTGAAATACCAACTTCCTTGACAACGCATTTCCATCCCTCGCCGACTCTGTACTGATATGTTAGCAGCATTCTTCACTAATAACTTTCAAACTTTTAAGTCAAAAATCAGCACTACAGATCTCCCAAACACAAATTTCAATACATCTCTCTATGATTTTGTACTCGATTACTGAAAACATATTTTTTTGATGTGTACTAAATTACTGCACAGACAGGCCGAATGGTGGTTTAACCTGGAACTCAAGTCAGAATGCTCTCTTCCTCAATAACTAAACTGCAAAAGCTGACGATTCTGTAGTTTATGCCAACGTAAAGTAATTCGGGGGAACAATAAAGAATAATGATATGTCAGGATTATGGAGGACATTAGAAGATCACGTAATCCTTTCCCTTTGCTTTACAGATGGAGCACCTAAGACGACAATGAGAGAAAGGAAGTGTTCAAAGCCACATGCTTATTAAATCGATAACCATACTTGTTATTATTGGTTGAATCATACCAATTGCCTCATACCTGTCATTATCGGTTGAATTAAATACGACATTAATAATCCATTTTCGAAACATGAAAATGATGTTACTTATACCTTATCTGTAGGTTAGGCAGGTTTAGTCATTTTTCTAGTCCTAAAGATGAAATAGTGGTGAGTCCACAGGACTAGGGTCAATTGAACAGCGTTTTAGTCTTGGCCCAGCCATTAACTGATCTTGTGAGCTACACCCTGACATGTAAAATGGAGATAATAATTACCTACCTTACAACGCTTTTGGAAGAATCAGCAATAAATAAGATAATAAACATAAAATTGCTTTGTCGATGGTAAAGCCCAATATAGATTTGGAGTTGTTCATTCCTTTACCCACAAGTTTTGGAAATTTAATGAGATACCTTTTTTGGAGCTGCTAATGCAGTTCATACAACAACCCAAAGAGAGGAGAAATTTATTTCATTGAAAGGATGGCCAGGGTAGGGAGGGAGCAATTGGGGGGATCGTTTTATGAACTATAAGATATCTAACCAATGTGCTGTATACTTGAAACTAATTAAAATAAATAATTTTTTTCAAAAAGTAAATAATACTGCTCCTAATCTGAGAAGACAACATGGGTTATTATCTAGGTCAAGAAATTGTTTTTAGTCTACGGCCATGCTACTCTGAACAGGCCGGATCCCATCTGATCTGGGAAGCTAAGCAGGGTGAGGCCTGGTTAGTACTTGGATGGGAGACCACCTAGGAAGACCAGGTGCTGTAGGCATAAAAAAATTAAAAAAATAAGAGATTGTAAACTGGGAAGGTCCTTGCAGTCTGTGAGGTCAACCAAGGGTTGCCTCACCTTGAAAAAAAATTGTTTTTATATTCATCTAGAAAATCTCACATTTTAAAAATAAGACAAACTGTAATGATAAAAAAATCCATATATTTTTTTAAAAAGAATGATAGCATTTTCTTGAAAACTATATATATATATATATATCTTGGGGGAGAACAGATTTTTAAAAACAAAGAAAATTCAAAATTACTGTGCAGAAGGGGATGTCAGCAAGATGGAGAGCTAGAAGTTCCCCAAAATCATCTCTCCCACAAAAACAACCACCACCACAAAACTACAAACTGAAAGAAATGGCTCAGGGAAAGCTTAGGACACAAAGAAGCAGCACCAAAAATCAAAGGAACTCAAAAATCAAGGGTGGTCATACAGAAAAGTACAGGAAGCCTGTCGCCGGTGCAAACATCCATCCGGTCCCCCAGTCGGGAGGGACTCTGTACCTAGAGGCGTCCCCTCCGAAGAAGTCCGGCCTACGGGGAAGAAGTGAGAAGAAAAATCCCAGCCCCGCCACTGTGGACCTTTGCAGCCCTTGCTCCAGCAGTCTCCCCGTCTTCACTGACCCCAGATGACGGAGGAGCACGGAGTGTCGCCCCTCTGCATTCTGCTCTCCAGACTGGAACTGTTGCCAAGTTGAGACTTGCCGTAAGGGACCCCAGTTTCTGCCGTGCCCCGTTCTAAGGGAGCTGGCACCGTAGCGCCTTGACATGTACCAGGCTGCAGCTGCCGCTGTTCTCAGCCCACCCCGGACCCAGGTGGGGGCTGTGTCCCAACATTGCCAGGGCAACCTCTGCTGCCCTGAGCTCCATCCCCTGGGCAACGAATCATACTTTGGCTGTCATCATCTAGGCCTTGCTGCCGCAGCCCCGAGTCCCGCCCACCAAGTTCCAGGCTGCGGCTCTGAGTAGCCATGGCTACGGATGCTGCTACAGCCTAGCGCCTGACCTCTAACCCCAGGTGAAGACGCTAGTCTGCTGGCTGCCACTACCATAAGCCCTACTCCCTGGATTCTGTCATGCTTTGATGGTGATTATCAGTGCGCTGCTGTTGCCATCACTCACCAGATTGCAGGTCCTGGGCCCTGAGTCTTCATTGCAAGGGTCCTGCTGCTGGCTCTGGGCCCCACCTCATTCCCATCACAGGTCGAGAGTCTGGATCATCATTACTGAGATGAGCTCTCACTGCCCCCTGGGTTCCAGGTCATAACTGTGAGCCATCATCGCCACCGGTGCAACTACTACCCCGAGCTCC